GGAAGAAAAGGGAGGAAAGAAAGGAGTGGAAGGAGGTAAGAAAGGGAACAAGGAAAGTAACAGAAGAGAGGAAGGGAAGGAGGAAAGGGGAAAAAACTGAATCTGGAGTCCTGTAATTTAAAGATCAGAGAAAGCATGGTGGGATTTATTTAATCACAATGCTAAGGATTCTGATTGAGAGACTGCCTTTGCTAAAGAAAATCGTGGGTTACCCAGATGTTCAGAATGAGGCCGTCCCCACAGTGATTACAGAGTTTGTACCTTCAAGAACAGACCAGGAAATGGCCTCCGATTAGATGCCTCTGCTTTATGTTGCGCTCCATTTAGAGCTGGGTGGAAGTCCCAACCAAAACCTTCATGGCTGTCCTGTTTCCCGAGTATTCTCTGGGGCAGGAGTACCTGTAGATCCAATCTATCGGTGTTGGGAGTTGCATGTCACATGGCCAGGTAGAAGGAGCAGGTATAGGACATCACCCAGATGTTATGGATCACCGCTACTGAATAGGATGAGCATGGAGGAAGAGATGATCGCAGTTACGGCTGATGTGATAAGGTGGCTGGAGGCCAGCTTGCTCTGAATTATGACTCTTCAATGATATAGAGCCATTTCTGATGCTCTTGATTCTTTTCTGTAGAATCATTTCCCTTGGACATGAAGAACATCTGTAGCATACTTTGTGGTGCAGTTCTGCTGGCTTGTGCATATGTGAAAATATCCTTATCTCACCATCACTTTTGAAGGATATTCTGTTCCCCTCCCCTGGAGATCCCCAGCCACCATGATTTGCTTTCTGTCACATAGATAAGTTTGTATTTTCTAGAATTTCATGTAAATGGAAACATAATATGTATTCTTTTTTTCTGTCTAGCTTCTTTAATGCAGCATCAAATTTTGAGATCTATTCATGTGCATCAATAGTTCATTCCTTTCTGTTGCTGAGTAGTATTTCATTTTATGACTGTACCACAATCTTTATCCATTCACCTGTTGATGGGTAATTGGGAGGTCTCCATTTTTAGATATTACAAAGAAAGCTGCCATGAATATTTGTGGACAGGTCTTTGCATGGGTAGATGCTTTATTTTCTCTTGGGTAAACACCCAAAAGTGGAATGTTTATTTTCACAAAACTGCTAAACTATTTTCCAAGTAGTTGTACCATTTTACATTATCACCAAATGTGGTAGACAATCAGGGATACACAACTAAGGCCCAACTGGCTTCCAATCTTTCTCTCCTTCACCTATTGCTGTACATAGTCACACATTGAATCCACAGTCATAGGACATGGACTTCACTAAGTGGGCAAGGAGAAATCACTAAAGTTGTTCTGGAAGTGGGCTCAGAGAGTTGTTGTTTGGCAGAGAATTCTGTGACCCGGATACTTGGAACATAGTCTGGAGGTGGGAAGCTGTGGCCATAGGCAGGCATTTCCCTGGGTTCAAAGGATGTTTCGCTTTGTGGAGGGGGATGGCCAAAGGATGACCAGAGTGAGGCCATCTAAAGTATGGTGCTCAGGAGACCACCCCTTGCCAAGGTCCAAGGGCAGTACTATTCCTCTCTCTTCTAATCTATCCAAATTCTGACCATCTTCAAAACCCATTGTAAGTCATCCCTCCTACCGCATCTTCCATCATTGTGGCAGTTCTGTGTGTGTCTTTCTTCTCGACTGTTTTCTATTTACCTTTGTTTGTATTTATCACTTTCCCAGTTTGTCTATAAGCTTTTGAATCAACCACTGTGTTCTTTTTTTCGTCATATGTCTAGCAAAGTACTATGTACACAACAACTGTTAAAGATGCTGGTTGAAGGAAGTGCTGCAGATGGTTCGTTGGTTTTGCTTAGCTCCTAGGTTATGGTGTTAGTCTTGAGAGCTTGCCCTGCGTGCTTTCGCATTTACAAATATAGAATCCAGTGTATAGCTACTAATGCATCACCCAAGCTCTTCTCATCATCTTTGCTAAGCGTTCATCCTTAGCTGACTAACACTACCCAAACTCCATACTCATGCTTACCTTTTACCAAGCCAGGGTAAATTTTGATCTGATCTCATCTCACCATTGTCTTTTTACATTACATTCTTACTAACTGTATTAAGTAACCCAGAAATAAAGAAGTAATGTTTTCAGATTTCTGATTTTCCCAGCATTGGCTTTATTTCTGTCATACCGGTCCCTAGAGGCCTGGCCATAGATGTTTCCCCAGTCGTGTCTCCGTGTGTTCGCATGTGCTGACCCTTCGCCCTCAGCTGCTCTGTTTCCTCTCCATCTGGATGATGCTGGGCTCTTTACGCAGCGGCAGCAGCAGCAGTTTTCCTGGAAGGCTTCTCCTTTTAAGAGATCTGAATTAAATGTCCTGCCGCTATGTTCTCTTTTTTGTGTCATGTGTACAACATAATGATTTGATATTTTTATATATTGCGAAATGACCACCACAATAAGTCTAGTTATATACATAGTTACAAATATTATTTCTTGTGATGAGAACTTTGAAGATCTACTCTTAGCAACTTGCAGATATACCACAGGGTATTACCTTAGTCACTCTACTGTACATCTTCATGATTTATTTATTTTATAACTGGACATGTGTACCTTAAGGCCACCTTCACCCATTATGACCCCCACCACAGCCCCACCTCTGGCAACCACCAGCCGGTTCTCTGAGTTTTTTATTTTTTTTTCATATATAAGTAAGACCATACAGTATTTGTCTTTCTCTGACTTATTTTTTCACTTAGCATAATGCCCTCAAGGTCTATTCATGTTGTCAAAATGACAAGATTTCCTTCTTTTCTATGGCTGAATGGTATTTCCTTCCTCTGGGTTCTTACAGCACATCTCTTTAAACCTTTCTCACCATACTTAAGACACAAGGTAATTGTAGATTTACTTCTCTATTATCCTGTGTGAAGATAAGGACCCATCTCACTGACTTTGTATTTCAGCATCTAACATGGTGCTGGCAGCACAGTGATGTTTAAATAACTGGTCAGTGAGTCAGTGAATTAACGACTGAAAGAATGGAATGCCCCCTCTCATTTGTTTTCTTCACTCTGCTCTCTCTTCGTGGCTTCCGTTATTTACTTTTGTTTCCGCTCTTCTTCTGCTGTGACTACGTTTTTGCAAGGTTATAGAAAGAATAAAATCTTTGTGACCTTTAATTAGAGTGTTCTTAGATTTACAGATGTTGGAAAATGGATTTTGAACCTTAGCAAACAAACTGAAAATGTTAAATATTTGTGGGTAGGTGTGGCAATGAAAGAGAGATTTCATTGGTATTTGTTATGAAGGTGGGTACGTCAGTAAGGTTTTGCTCAAGAATTAGTCCTCTAGACAGAGCTGCCCAATTCTAAGGGCAACAAAAGTCACTCTGTCACACTAGATGTTAGGTAACTGATCTTCAAGCCTAGAGGTCTCCTGAGATGCCCTTCATAGAAGCCAAAGATAAAAACACTTTAAAAACTTCAAGCTTTGTCCTAGCCAGTTTGGCTCAGTGGATAGAGTGTCTGCTTGTGGACCAAAGGGGTCCTGGGTTCAATTCTGGTCAAGGGCACGTACCTTAGCTGCAGGCTCCTCCCCAGCCGCGGCCCTGGTCAGGGTTCGTGCAGGAGGCAACCAGTTGATATGTTTCTCTCACATTGATGTTTCTCTCTCCACCTCCAACCTTTCCTTCCATTCTCCCTAAAAATCAATGGAAAAGTGTCCTCGGATAATGATTAACAACAACAACAAAAACACACACACATACAAAAAAACCAAAAAACAAAAAAAAAAAACTTCAAGCTTTGTTTATCCCAGATACTCTTTATATCAATATCAGGGAATAATGAAGTTCCTAATACACTGGCCAGCAGTCGTAGGTACTAATGAATGTTAGTCTCTAATCCTCATCCTCCTTCCTAAATTTCCAACAACCTAAGTTTCCTTGAAATTTCTCTCAGGATCTGATAAGGAATAGACCCAAATGGTATGTGCCAGTCACTAAACATGTAGACCTTCTCTTCAGATACCAGTAAATTAATTTTCCTCTCTGGCACTTACATTTTCTTTGAGAATGACATGCTCTTGACTGCAGTCCAGCTATTGGTAATAGAGAATGTTCTATATGAACTGAAGGCCTTCACACTCAACTCACATATAGTCAGGGGCCAACCCATGGGCCCAGAGTCCTCATCAAAGATCCCTTTCCTAGGAACGTTGGGGAGTACTCTGTCTCTAGTTCGCTTTGCTTGAGAGGGGTAGAGGACACCTCAGCAGATATTTTGAGCAGTATTATAGCAGACCAGCATGAATAGGAGCTGAATCTAGTGCCAGAAACTGGTTTATCAACCTTAAGATTCTTAGCAGAAATTCTCCAGTCCCAATCTGAATCCAGTTAAAGTGGCAATAATTAATCTTTGTACCCTAGTGACACTGTTTATTGTAATATTAAATAGATGTTAATGTATGAAAAAGTTTTGAAAACAAAATGTAAAGATAATAGAAAAAATCACTGTAATGCTTAATTTCCTTATTTGAAAAGGAAGTGCCCTTTAAAGCTTTAGAATCAGCTACATGAAATACAATTCAACTGAATTTTCATTTAGAAATTACACTGTATCCTGTAGGTGTAGACTTCCCTGTTGCTTGCACACAACTTCCATTAACTGCAGCAATAGAAGTTACTTATGGAACCGCTTATACCTCTAAGCATTGTAGAGGGAAGTGGAATTAAGGCCAACAACCCTACAATGTTTAAATGTACCATGCCTGTTTTTCAGAATTATTCTTGCCTAAGGAAATGAAAGAGGAATTGCTTGCTTCTACATCTTTCAAAGCATGTGAAAATGAGGCTACATTTGCTGGTTCAGTTTCCCGAAATCTTTGCAGTCAAATGTCCTTGAACCCAGGACCCTTGGAGATTCTCCTAACTGCACATTGTTAATGGTGGTTTGTTTTGAGTTTCCAAAAAAAAAAAAAAAAACCCCACTTTAATCATTGTTTTCTTTATCTTTTCAGGAGCTTCTAAAGTCCTTTGATGATGAAATCAATGCTTTTTTGGTCAATATGTTTGGACCTCGAGGTGAGTGAGTTACTCGAGAACTTAATGTGGAAGGAACACAGTATTTTGTTATAGAAGAGGATTATGTCAGTTCCAGTGTCTTGAAAATAGTATGGTACCTATTGTTTAGAGACTTAACCTCTCTCACCTTTGACATCCTTCTCCCAGAACATCCAAAGGCCCCATTTCTCCTGGGATTAAAGTTTTGGGAGCAGGAAGCAGAACTAGAGTGCGTGCAATGTTTTCCTTTGGTGTCTCTCTGGCTACCAAAGTAGGTAGTAGCTTTCCTTCTCAATGTATGCTGCTTCCCTCCTGGCTGTACTGTCCATTCACCTTCTACCTTCCTCACATGCAGTCATATATAGTCTTTCTGCCCTTGTTCTCTGAGCGTTCTCTGCCCAGGCCCCTTAGGTTGAGCTTCTAAACGCTCAGTCATTCCTCCGTCACCAGTCTCTATGACTACTGCAACGTGCCAGTCGATGTATACTTAGTGACTCTTTCCTCTCAGCTCAGCACTGAGTGGTTGTAAGTTATCCTAACTAGTCTCCCCCTTCCAATCACTTATTAAGTATCAGCTGGAATAATACTTTAAAAGCCTGAGTCCTAGTATGTGGTGCTCTAGCTTAACACTCAGGGCCCTTTCAGGTAAAAGCCAGCTTTCTTATATGGACTGCGCACCCTTGTATATGTAGCCCCAGCTCTCTCCAACACTCAATGCTACTTCCCCACTCACTTTGACCTCTGAAGTCTTTTACTTTCTCAAATATATAAAACTCTTTCATATGCTGTTCCTTGAGCCTAGAATTCCTCCTCATTCATCCTCTAATATAGTGAGCTCCTTCTCATACTTTGGGTTATCAGCTTAAATGGTACCTTTTTCTCTAACAAAGATGTCAGGGAATTTGCCCCTCTAAAGTAGGCCTCTTATTATACTCTATTTCAGTCTCTGTTTATTTCCTTCATAAACAACCTCATTGTTATTAATAGCTCTTTCTCCCATGAGGACAGGAACTATGACTGTTCTCTCCAGTGCTTATTACAGCCCCAAGAACACAGTAGGCACTATCTATTTTGCAAATAAATGAACAAATTTTAAACAACATGTTTTGTTTCACTTGAGCCTTGCTGTATCACAAAGCTGTGAAAAAAATCTGCAAATTATTTCCTCAGCACTATTGGTGGGGGGAGAGGGGATAAAGAGATTTTCTGTTTCTCAAAATCTTTAAACAGAATCACTTAGAGATTATTTAGACCACTCTCCAGTTTCTCTTCTAAGTGAATGACTATATAGTTTTAATGAAATGATACCCTGTGATTGTATAGAACATTAAAAAATACTTTCCCATAGTCTTTGGTTCTGTTTTGCTTTTTCCTTTTCATCCTTGTGATGACCCCGTGGGACAGGCAGGGAGGGACACCGTGTCTGCAACCTACTCAGTTAATATGTCTCTGCTTACAGCTGTAGTGGGTAGTAGAGGGCATGATGCCTAACTTACACATGCAGGCTTCTTGGTGACAGTGGCTTTCTACTAGTAGTTGACACTCCCAGTGGAGAGTTAAATAACAGTCTCTCTGAGCCAACTTCACACTGAACTTTGCCATTGGTAAGATCATGGTGATCTGGAATTATATGACTGTGGGATCAGTTAAGGATAGTATTACAGTTATTTACTCAGCTGTGTTCATTTTTATGGAAGTTTCCTTTGTAGCAAAGAGACTGTAAGATTGGCATTTGACAACTGGATCAGTTGACCCTCACAGTGACATCTAGACCATCATGAATCCCTGTCCCCTTCCTAAAGGTGGCACAAATTTAAGTTGGCTGGCAGCCACCTGGTAAGCTTCGAAGTATCCCCAGGTCTTCTCTCAGTTTACCTACACCATATCAGTACCATCAGAGGATGTTGGGCAAATACCTGACACAGATGAAGAGCTGACACCTCTCAAGTCCCAAAGATACTAATATTCCAACAGGTATTTGCTCCCATATTTTAGTTAGATCAGTTATGATCTTCTGTCACAATTTTGACAAATATTTCTAGGACTATGACATAAGGAAACAAAAACTTCAGGTGTTGTATTAGGTTTGCAATATGTGCTTGACTCAGTATGCCAATTAGTATACATTTAATTATATATTAGTACTAGAGGCCCGGCGCATGAAATTCGTGCACTGGGGGGGTAGGGGGGGCTGGTGTCTCTCAGCCCAGCTTGCATCCTCTCCAATCTGGGATCCCTTTCACAATCCGGGACTACTGGCTACCAACCACTCGCCTACCTGTCTGCCTGATTGTCCCTAACCACTTCTGCCTGCCAGCCTGATCACCCCCTAACCACTCCCCTGCCAGCCTGATCACCCCCTAACCACTCCCCTGCCAGCCTGATTAATGCCTAACTGCTCCCCTGCTGGCCCAATCGCTCCCAACTGCCCTCCCCTACAGGTCTGGTCCCCCCAACTGCCCTCCCTGCAGGCCTGGTCCCCCCCAACTGCCCTCCCCTGCAGGCCCGGTCGCCCACAACTGCCTTCCCCTGCCGGCCATCTTGTGACCACATGGGGCGGCCATCTTTGACCACATGGGGCAGCCATCTTTGTGTGAGGGTGTGATGGTCAATTTGCATATTAGCCTTTTATTATATAGGATATTTCCTCTCAACTCAGCACTACATGGATGTAAGTTATAAATGAGACAATTGAAATATAAGATCTAGCCTTTGTCTTGTGGAGCATATACTGTAGTTGAGAAGGTAAAAGCACATCTGAAACCATTGGAGAGCCATCAAGTAAACCATGGGTATTAGTTTTCTATGGCTGCAGTAACAAAGTACCACAGACTGCATGGTTACCACACAGCAGTTTATTCTCTCACAGTTCTGGATGCTACAGGTTTCAAATCAAGATGCTGGCATGGCTGTGTTCCCTCCGAGGTTCTAGGGAAGAATCTGTTCCACCTCTCTCCTAACTTCTGGGGGTTGCCAGCAATACTTGGCCTTCCATAGCTTATAGCTGCATCACTCCAATTTCTATTTCATCTTCAGAGTGTCCCTGAATCCAAACCTCCTCTTTTAAAGACACCAGTCACCTGGTCAGGGCCCACCCTAATCCACTGTGGCCTCATCTTAACTTGATTACATCTGCAAAGACCTAATTTCCAAATAAGCTCACAACACAGATATGAGGAGTTAGGACTTGAGCATATCTTTTTAGGGACTACAATTCAACCATAGTAGGAGGAAGGGTAGCAGTTTAGTGCAAGTTATTTAATTTTTTACCCTCTGTAGCTCAATTTTTCTCAGGTATAAACAGGGGGTAACAATATCACCTTGTGTCTGTTTTCCTGATTATGATGATGGCATCACCAGTGTGTGCGTGTGTCCAAACTCAGCACATTGTACATATTAAATATTTATAGGATTCTGTGTCAGAATTATATCTCAGTAAAGCTATTACAGATATTATCACCTATATAATAAGATGGATTGAGAGTTAAGTTAATGCATGTAAAAGGCTTTTAGAACAGTGTCTGCTACAGAATTAGTGCTCAGTACATGTTAGTTATAATAGTATTATAGCCATACTAACATGAATTATGAAGTGGTGATTATTTGATGCTGATGAGGAGCTGTGTTATGAAAGAGCAGTAGGAAGTGGCTTCCTTCAGAAGTCAGGGCCTTAGATGTGGAGATACAAATTAGAAAGTGGCACATAGCACAGCCTTTTATAACCAATAATTACGAGCTAGTCTGTGAAAGGTAATGCCTGTTAGTCACCTGCATGCTCCTTTCTTACCTTTTTATCCTTATCACAAAAGGGGAAAGTTTGCAGGATAAGTAATGGGACAGAGCTTGAAAAGACACTTTCCTTAGAAGTGACACTCTGGAGGGTGGTGGTTTAAAGAGGGGCTGGTGGACAGGGTGGGTAGAACAGAAAGAGAGACTGAGGCTGAGGGAACCACAGAGATCAAGAAAAGAGCATTATCTCTGGAGAAACCAGCTCCTTACAACTCTTTACAGCAGGCCATTTTTATAATCCTGGGCTAAATAATTTTCTTTATTTAAACAACAAAAAACAATATAAAGAACAAAAATCATTTTATGTCCATAATTATTTTCAGGTGTTACTCATTATAGTATAGCTCTATTATATGTGCTTTATTTTTTTTTAATCCTCACCAGAGGATATGTTTTTATTTATTTTAGAGAAAGAGGAAGGGAGAGGGAGAGAGAAAGAGAGAAAAACCTTGATGTGAGACTGAAACATCAATCAGTTGCCTCCCCTACAAGCCCTGACCTGGAATCAAACCTGAAACATTTTGGTGTACGGGAAGATGCTCCAAACAACTCGGCCACACTGGCCAGGGCTATTATGTATGTTTTATTTTGGTTTTTAAATTGTAACTCTCCAGAGTAAGGGAGACTTGATATACCTAGGTTCTTGCCTCCTAGCTGTTTGTACTCCTAGTCCCTGGTCAAGCTTTGGGTGCTTGCTTTAATTTCTGTTCTCAGTTCTGAATCATCAGCTCCAAGGCTTTGCCTTCATTAGCTCAGCTCTCATGCTTGTCATTCTGAAATCTCATTGATCTCTTTGGATCAGATGAACTTAAACCCACTCTTGGTTGCTGCACAGTGATCCAGGGCAAGTTCTGGCCAGCGTGGGTTTTAGGAAATAGGACACAGTGTCAATAAACTTTCTCTTCTGTCTCCTCCAGACTTCTCCCTAGGAGGCAGCAGCAAGGTATGGCGGGCTGGGCATCAGGCGTGAATTCAAATTCTGACTCTGCTGCCGACTATTGTATGGCCTTTGGCAGGTTACTAAAGCTTTCTGAGCTGTGTTTTTACCCATAAAGTGGCAAAACATACTTCATATTTACTGAGTTAAATAAACATAGTAATTATTTCAAAGTAGACATTCAAGGACTGTTACTTCTCACATTTGTTAATTTTCCTGTCGTTCAGTTCCTTAATGCTGCATCACAGTGTCCCCTGTTGTATTTGGTATGTACTACCAAAATGTATGTGCCAATATATCCCATATAATAAAGCGGTAATATGCAAATTGACCCTCACACCCTCACATCACAAGATGGCCGCCCCCATACCATCACAAGATAGCTGCCCCCACGTTGTCACAAGATGGCCACCCCCACGTTGTCACAAGATGGCCGGCAGGGAAGGACAGTTGGGGGATATGAGGTGATCAGGTTGGCACAGAAGCGGTTAGGGGCAATCAGACAGGCAGGCAGGCGAGTGGTTAGGGGCCAGCAGTCCTGGATTGTGAGAGGGATGTCTAACTGCCTGTGGGATTGGGCCTAAACTGGCAGTTGGACATCCCCCAAGAGGTCCCAGATTGGAGAGGGTACAGGCTGGGCTGAGGGACACCCCCCCCCCAAGTGCACAAATTTCATGCACCAGGCCTCTAGTCCTATCTAATAAAAGAGAAACATAGTAATTAGCCGTACCTCCGCTACCCTTCCCATTGGCTAATCAGGGCGATATGCAAATTAACTGCCAGCCAAGATGGTAGTTAACTGCCAACAAAGATGGCGGCTAATTTGCATACTGCAGTCAGGATGGGACAGCGCCATTCTGCCTGCCCCGCTGCCATCCAGGCCTGCTATCTGTGACCCCGATGGTGGGCGACCCCTGTGCAACCCGACCCAGGGCTGGCGGGCGTGACCCCAGCGATCCGCCACTGGCCAGGCCCCCAACCTGCTCTCCCTCAGGAGATCGGCACTGGCGGGGCGACTGCTGCTCATCAGCCAGCAGCCACGCCCCCAACCGGCCCTCCTGCCAGGGATAAGCAACTGGAGATCCCACAGCAGGAAAGAGGGGCCTGCAGCCAGCCCCTGTGTGGGCCTGCCCCTGGGTCACTGCTGCGATCCCCGAGCAGGAAAGAGTGGCCTCTAGCCAGCCCCTGTGTGCGCCTGCCCGTGGAATCGCCGCGGTGATCACGGAGCAGGAAAGGGCGGCCTCTAGCCAGCCCCCATGTGCGCCTGCCCCTGGGTCGCCACAGTGATCACAGAGCAGAAAAGGGTGGCCTGCAGCCAGCCCCTGTGTGCGCTTGCCCATGGGATCGCCCCAGAGATCATGGAGCAGGAAAGGGCGGCCTCTAGCCAGCCCCCCTGTGCGCCTGCCGGTGGGTCGCTGCTGGGATCCTACAGCAGGAAAGGGGGGCCTGCAGCCAGCCCCCGTGTGCACCTGCCTGCCCATGGGATCACCAATGCGATCCCACAGCAGGAAAGGGGAGCCTTCAGCCAGCCCCCGTGTGCGCCTGCCGGTGGGTCGCCACGGTGATCCCAGAGCAGGAAAGGGCGGCCTGCAGCCAGCCCCTGTGTGCACCAGCCCCTGGGTCGCCGCAGGGATCACAGAGCAGGAAAGGGTGGCCTGCAGCCAGCCCCCGTGTGCACCTGCCTGCCCATCGGATCGCTCATGCGATCCCACAGCAGGAAAGGGGAGCCTTCAGCCAGCCCCCGTGTGCACCTGTCCCTGGGTCGCTCTGGCGATCCCACAGCAGGAAAGGGCGCCCCATCCTGGCCACAGCTCAAGGGAGAGTACAACATGCAGTGGAGGCCAGGAGCCTGAGAGATCAACAGAGAGGGGGCCTGCTCCAAGCCTCCAGGGTATGGCTGGGGGCAGGCCCCCAGCAGACAGACAGACAGACACACACACACAGCGCCTACTCTGAGCTTCCAATGTGGCTGGGAGCAGACCACCAGTGGACACACACACACACACACACACACATACATACAAACACACACACACGGGGACGCCTGCACCGAGCCTCTGCTGCCAGACTGTGGCCATCAGTAGGACATCCACTGAGGGCTCCCAGACTGAGGGGCAGGCTTGGCTGAGGGAACCCCATCCCCCAGTGCACGAATTTCATGCACCGGGCCTCTAGTATATATATAAAAGGCTAAGTGTCTATCCATCTGACCAGTGGCCATGATGCACACTGACCACCAGGGGACAGACGCTCAACGCAGGAGCTGCCATGATGTGCACTGGCCATCCTATATAATAAAAGGCTAATATGCAAATTGCCCCCTCGACTGGGAGTTCAACCAGGGGGCGGAGCTAGCCGGCCAACTGCCCACAGCCCCTCCCCCAGCTGGCCCGGCCTGTTGGCCCCGATTGGAGCGGGCTGGCCAGCCCCCACCTGTGCACAAATTCATGCACCGGGCCTCTAGTTTAAAAATAAGCAGCACCACCGACCTGGCACCGACAAACCAATACTAGGCTTTCCCCAAGTGGGACACAGGCCCCACCACCACCTTGGAGCGACACCCCACCAAATCGCAGCCAATGCTGCCAAGACCCCATGGCACAAAATGCGGCCCACAGCCCAGCCCGGAAACAGTCACTGTGGGCACCAGGTAATGATGTCACATAGCAACGCTCAGCTTCCTCTTCCTAGCGACTAACATCCTTGGAATTTCTTCAGTCCACGAACCCATCTTGCTTTATAGCCAGGTACAAACATTTTACAGTTTAACCAAATGTCTGTGAAGCATTTTCCCATGCCCCTCATTTGATCCTCACAGAAGTCCTGGAGTAGGTAGATAGGAGACTCGGTAGAATCTTATTTTCTTTTCATTAGCAACTCTGTGAATAGGATATTAAAATATTTCTTCTAATTAATTTCCTTTCAATGTGCATGAATCCATGCACCAGGACACTAGTACCTTATAACTGAGCAGTGTTACTCTGCAGGATTCTCACTGTCTGTTTCTTTTCAGATTCTCGAGTCAGAGGATGGTTCATGTTGGACTCTTACCTCCCTACATTCTCTCTTACTGTCATGTATCTGCTTTCAATATGGCTGGGTAACAAATGCATGAAGAACAGGCCTGCTCTCTCCCTGAGGAACATCCTCACCTTGTACAACCTCGGCATCACACTTCTCTCCATGTACATGCTGGCGGAGGTAAGTGAGGGAGCAGCTAACCTGGCTCTGTGCCATCACTTTTCCCGTCTCTGGGAGGCATTTAAGGGCAAGCCCACCCAGCCTCCCAGAGCTTCCCAGGTGCTCAGGCTGCTTTCAGGTCCCAGGTACCTGTTCCTGCACCTGAGATAGCATTCCTACCAAAAGCCCCTAAGTCTTGTTTCTGACTTGAACTTTTCTTATCCAAATTTAGGCCTATTTCTTTAGTCCTTAGTCTTCCATTGTAATTTAAAATCACAATTTAGATCTGAATGGGTGTTTAAAGATCATATGTAATAATTTTCTCCTTTTATGGATTATTAGAGGCCCAGTGCACAAAATTCATGCACGGAGTGGGGGTGTCCCCTCACCCAGACTGCACTCTCTCAATCCGGGACCCTGCAGGGGATGTCTGACTGCCAGTTTAAACTGGCAGTTGGGAGAGAAACCAAGATGGCGGCATAGGTAAACACCATAAATTGCTGCCTCGCACAACTACTTCAAAAATACAACTAAAAGATAAAACGGACATCATCCAGAACCACAGGAAGGCTGGCTGAGTGGAAATTCTAAAACTAGAAGGAAAGAGAAAAGCACACTGAGACTCAGAGGAGGTGTGGAAGTAAAGTGCAGAAGTACGGAGGCCCACGTGGAAAGGGCTGGCAACTGAGGACGCGGTTGTCTTTTTCAGTCGGGAGGGAGACACAAGCTCTTGACTGCTCTGATCTCCAGTTCCAGGTGAGTCTCTGGGGACCCAGACTCATCCGGGAAGAAACTGGACTGTCTGGCATTGGTCGGAACTCGAGTGCGGCTTTCTCTCAGAGGTGTTTGCAGCAATTACCGGGACACTGAGAAGCAGGGCCTCTTAGGGTAGGACTGAGGATCATCCATAGCTGTTTGTTCCGCCCTGTTGATTCCCTGAGACCCCGCCCCACCCAAGCTGTGCACAGAGGCTTTTGCATATGAATGGCCTGGCCCTTTGCAATCTGAAAATTACCTAACAAACTGCAGCTGGGCCAGACAGACCCAGAACTTCCAAGAGAAGGTCCAAGGCTCCACAGCAGCTTGCATTGCTTCACAGCTGGCCTCATCTGGGCACCTCCAAAACCCAAACAAAGAAGAGGAATCTGCAGATCTCTCCATAGCTTCTGCTGGGTAGCCTCAGGCAGAGGCTAAATTAGCACCTCCTTAGAGATCCAAGAGCCAGTGTACCCAGTGGTCAGAGTGGGACCATCCAGATTACAACTCCTCAGATTCAAAAGGGACACACTCAGGGGGCAGACTCAGTGAGCACCAAAGCCCCACTGAAGCAAGTCTTGCCCCAGAAGGGTGTCTCCAGCACAGAAGTTCTCCCATTGCAGACACAGCTGATTCTCACAGCCAATTGGCCTGGAGGTCAATTCCTCCCAGTGATACCTACAACAATCAAGACTTAACTACAACAAGACTGTGCACAAAGCCCATAAAGGGGTGCACCAAGAGTGTCCACCTCAGGTAATTGGGGAGGCTGAGCCACTGGGCCCTATAGGACACCTAGCACAGAAAGCCACTCTGTCAACACAGGGAAGCATAAAAAATGTGGAGACAAAGAAACAGGTCAGAAATGACAGAAATGGAGGAAAGCAAACTACTGGATATAGAGTTCAAAACCACATTTTTTAGGTTTTTCAAGAATTTTCTAGAAACCGCCAATAAATTTAGTGAGACCCTCAAGAAATCTAGTGAGACCCTCGAGGTTATGAAAAAGGACCAACTAGAAATTAAGCATACACTGACTGAAATAAAGAATATTATACGGAGTTCCAACAGCAGACTGGAGGATCGCAAGAATCAAGTCAAAGATTTGAAATACGAAGAAGCAAAAAACACCCAACCGGAAAAACAAAAAGAAAAAAGAATCCAAAAATATGAAGATAATGTAAGGAGCCTCTGGGACAACTTCAAGCATATCAACATCCGAATTATGGGGGTGCCAGAAGAAGAGAGAGAGCAAGATATTGAAAACCTACTTGAAGAAATAATAACAGAAAACTTCCCCTACCTAGTGAAAGAAATAGACTTACAAGTCCAGGAAGCGCAGAGAACCCCAAACAAAAGGAATCCAAAGAGGACCACACCAAGACACATCATAATTAAAGTGCCAAGAGCAAAAGACAAAGAGAGAATCTTAAAAGCAGCAAGAGAAAAACAGTCAATTACCTACAAGGGAGTACCCATACGACTGTCAGCTGATTTCTCAACAGTAACTTTGCAGGCCAGAAGGGACTGGCAAGAAATATTCAAAGTGATGAATGCCAAGAACCTACAACCAACATTACTTTACCCAGCAAAGCTATCATTCAGAATTGAAGGTAAGATATAAAGAGCTTCACAGATAAGAAAAAGCTAAAGGAGTTCATCACCACCAAACCAGTATTATATGAAATGCTGAAAGGTATCCTTTAAGAAGAGGAAGAAGAAGAAAAAGGTAAAGATACAAATTATGAACAACAAATACACATCTATCAACAAGTGAATCTAAAAATCAAGTGAATAAATAATCTGATGAACAGAATAAACTGGTGAATATAATAGAATCAGGGGCATAGAAAGGGAGTGGACTGCCCTGGTCCGTTTGGCTCAGTGGATAGAGCGTCGACCTGCGGACTGGGTGGTCCCAGGTTCAATTCCCGTCAAGGGCATGTACCTTGGTTGCGGGCACATCCCCAGTAGGGAGTGTGCAGGAGACAGCTGATCGATGTTTCTCTCTCATCGATGTTTCTAACTCTCTATCCCTCTCCCTTCCTCTCTGTGAAAAATCAATAAAATATATTAAAAAAATAAAATATATTTTAAAAAAAGGAAGGGAGTAGACTGACTATTCTTGGGGGGGAAAGAGGTGGGGAGGGAGAAGAGACTGGACAAAAATCATACACCTATGGATGAGGACAGTGGAGGGGGGGTAAGGGCAGAGGGTGGGGTGGGAACCGGGTGGAGGGGAGCTATGGGGGGAAAAAAGAGGAACAACTGTAATAATCTGAACAATAAAGATTTAATTAAAAAATAAAATAATAAAATAAAAACCGGAATAAAAAAATAAATAAAAAATATAAAAATAAACTGGCAGTTGGACATCCCTCTCACGATCCTGGACCGCTGGCTCCTAATCACTCACCTGCCTGCCTGCCTAGTCATCCCTTTCAGCCCCCTCTGCTGGCCTGGTTGCCCCCAACTGCCCCCCCTGCTGGCCTGGTCACTGCCAACTGCCCCCCCACCAGCTTGGTCACCCCTCACTGCCCCCCTCTTCTGGCCTGGTTGCCCCTCACTGCCCCCCCTGCCAGCCTGGTTGCCACCAACTGTGCCCCCTGCCGGCCTGGTCGCCCCACGCAGCTTTTTCGATCGTCCAAGTTCGGTTATTTCGGATGTGACAGCCCCTGGCTCTTTGTATATATAGATGATACTGTGGCTTAGGAAAGTTACATGATTTGCCTGAGAATAGACAGCTATTGAGTAACAGAGCATTTTTTAAATTAAATACCAAATGCAGTTAGTTTGACTGAAATACAAGTACATCGTCCTCTAAAGAATACTTCCCACATCTTAGGTCTGCTGACCCTGGGATAGCTGTTTCTCAGAATTGACTTCTTCTCGGCTCAGCTCTAGCTGCCCTCATTACAACATGTGCTCCCCATGCCTTTGTAAAGTGCCAAACCCAGGTATTTTACAAAAAACAAAACAAAACAATTGTCCTGCCTATACAACCTAAGTCCTGACAAACAGAGGGAGGGGGAGGGGGAGAGACAGGAGAAGGGACAGAGATAAACAAAATATCTTTTTAAGGAAAAGTTAGGATAGAATCATTCATATAAATTATAAATGGCTGTTTATGGCACAAGTATAGCTGCCTTCCTTGTATCCTTGAACTAAAAAATAATAATAATAAATCCTTGCTAAAAAACAGGTTGTCTCACCTATGGAATTTAGTATGTACATTAGTCTGAAATTCACCATTCTAATAATGGTAAACAACTATTACCTAAAATGACTGTAATAAAACTAATAATGGAGCTTGGGGCATCAGTCGGAGAGCAGAAGATGGGTGGGGTTTGGGGTGCGGAAAGCCATGCTGACAGGTCTAAAATTACATACATAGGTGCTTACCGATTTACCTGACCCTGAAGGGGGAATTTTGTTTTAGGTTCTCTGCTAGGTGAATTTAGTTCACGGATGAGCTTGTGAGGTAGTAATTTACCCCTGTAAAACCAAGGGGAAGATACTCCAATTGGATTGTTGTCACAGGGCGCAGCTGTATTAGAAGGGCAGCTCCAACACCTGCCGGAGCTCCTGTGGTGGAGTCAGGAGATCCGAATCCATGTCATCTGTCACTTCCTCTATCATTTAGAGGAAGCCCTCGGGCCTTCTGGACTTTAGGCAATTTCTCTCTGAAATGGAGATGTGGTACTTGTCCAAGGGCCACATGAGTGAGATGTTAGGGTTATCAGTTCTGTTCAGTGAGCATGTGGTGCAAAGTGTACTAGCCGGGGGGATAGAGACAGAGCGGCAGGTTCTGCACACAAGTGCTCACAGAGGAGTACAGCAGGAGTCAGTAAGTGTGAAAAGGCTTTGTACATTTTAAAGTGAACATCAGCCAGCATCAACAGAAACAAGAACAACCAAGTAAATGGTTTCTTAGGGAGAACTTCTGCACGGAGCTAGTTTTCTGCTACAAATTTTATCCATTTTCTCTTCTCACACTTTTGTATCTCTACTATCAGTTGCCACTTCCTCAACTCCTCCGATTGTAACCTCTTTCAGGATGGGCATAAGGTCTCTTCTTTGATAAGTTTGGGATACATTTAATAGATACCAGTCGAATGACAAGTTTCATTAACCTTGCTGATTTGTTATGCCCACACCAGATGTTTGCTTAGTCTAGGAAATTATTGCTAAAATTATTAATTCTTTCAACAAATATGTATTGAGTTCCTTCCCTGTGTCAGATTCTATTCTTGATTCTAGAATAGAGCCTTTGCCTATTGCAGCGATTTTCAACTGGTGTGCCGAGAGAAATTTTAAAACATGCAGTACCACCCTAGCTGGCTTGGCTCAGTGGATAGAGTGTCGGCCTATGGATCAAAGGATCCTGGGTTCGATTCCGATCAAGGGCACATTCTAGGTGCGGGCTTGGTCCCCAGTGGGGGATGTGCAGGAGGCAGCCAATCAATGATTTTCATCATTGATGTTTCTCTCTCTCCCTCTCCCTTCCTCTCTGATATCAATAAAAATATATTTTTAAAAAATGCAGTACCCAACTATTTAGTCAGGGGCACTGGCCTCTTTTCAAATAAAAGATTTGAAATGAAGATTGTCAAATAAAAAAATTGTAACAGCCAAAACAATAGCCATCTGGTGTGAATGATTCAAAATTATACCTATTTTTTGTCAATCAGCAAAAAATATCTATTTTTTGGTGTGTTGCAGAATTTTAGTAATGTAGGTGTGCCATGAGGTGAGAAAGGTTGACAGTCACTGCCCTCGTGCATTGAAGGGTGATGGCCGGTGGTGGGCAGGAATGCCTCTGGGAGGAGGTGATATTTGGGCTGAGACTGACTGATGAAAGTAAGCCAGACATCTAAAGATCTGGGGAGAGTATGTTCATGCAGGAGGGACAGCAAGTGTCAAGTTTCTGAGGCAGTGACAAGCTTGGTGTTCAAGGACCATAAAAATAAACAATGTAGCAAGGACACAGGAGAGAATGATTCAAGATGAGGTGGGATGTGGCATATCAAATAGGGCCTTGGAAGGCATTTGACTTTTATTCTAAGTATAATGGAAAGCCACTGGGGGATTTTAATGAGGGGAACGATATGATCTCCCTTTTAAAATAGATGATTCTGGTTGCTACATGGAAAATGGACATGAGAGTGAGTTGTGGGGCAAGAATAGAAGCAGAGTCCAGTTCGGATACGATTGCAGTACAACGGTCAACAGATGCTAGTGGCTTGGATTAAGGTGGTGGAGATGGGGAGAAGCCCGTGGATTCTAGCCGTGCTTTGGAGTAGCCCTCGCCTCCTGAAGGCTAAGCCTGTTTGACAGCCTGGTTTTCTTCAGCACATAGGTTGGGTGGCTCCTGCACACCAACCCAGCTAGTGGGTTAGGAATGGTTCAGGGTGTAGCTTGGCTGCTTAATTCTGCTGTTAGCTCTTAAATGGTCAGGTAGTTCTACAGAGGTGATACAGGGATGGGGGTGGCCTGGATAAATCTAATGGAAGCAGGAAATGTCTCAGGGTACAGGATATGGTGTGTCCTCTCCACTACAATATTGTTAGGGTACAGTGAAGAGACTAGAGCTCCTTTCTACAAAACTGTAGCCTGTAGAGGATATTAATAGAGGATATTAATTAACCTTTCTGCACAGTGTTAAACAGCTTTCCTATTTGAAAAATGCACTAATACACAAAAATTCACCTATACTTTTAAGTATCCCTAGATCCCCTGTAGCCTGTCACTGGTTTCCACTTGAGCACCAAGTACATAAAACTCTAGGGACTGTGGAGGGTGATTTGTAATAAATAGATCCCATCAGGAAAATTCAGTCTTTTTTCCTTTCACTGGATCTATTTAGCCTGGTAATCTGTAATTATGATGTTAACTGAAAAGTGCTTTGATTAGAGGGAAAGAGGTAAGTCAGGATAGTAGAGTAAAAGCAAAGATTCTAAAATGTTATAAACTAGGGTTGATGCATGGATTCATGCACTGGTGGGGTCCCTCATTCTGGCCTGCAGGGATCTGGCGGAAACTGGCTCTCTGACATCCCCCAGGGGTCCCAGATTGCAAGAGGGTGGTTCTCAAGTGATGCACCCCAGAATCGGGCTCCCTCCTTTCTGATTCCAGGTACATCACCCAAGAACCGCCACTGCTGTCACCGCAGCACGGCAGCTCCTGCATTGAGCATCTGCCCCCTGGTGGTCATTATACATCATAACTACCAGTCGAAGGGTCAAACAATCGGACAGTCGCTTAGGCTTTTATGTATGTATGTATGTATGTATGTATGTATGTATATATATACACACACATATATATATAATGTTTTTAGTGCTCATCTCTTTTTAATATTCAGTTCATTAACATCTTGTCCCTCCTGCTCTGTGTATATAGTTTGACAGTTCTCTGCCTTTACACATTTCTGATAAGCAGCAGAGAGAAAGCTTTTGTATATAATACCGTGTGTAAATCAAAGCCAAATGCCTTATATTTTAGAATTATTTTATTGAAAATATACATTTTATTGATTTTTCACAGAGAGGAAGGGAGAGGGATAGAGAGAAACATCGATGAGAGAAACATCGATCAGCTGCCTCCTGCACACCTCCTACTGGGGATGTGCCCACAACCAAGGTACATACCCTTGACCGGAATCGAACCTGGGACCCTTCAGTCCACAGGCCGGTGCCCTATCCACTGAGCCAAACTGGTTAGGGCAATATTTTAGAAGTTTAACTTTCTTTGGTAATAGTGGAAAGAAGGGAGAAAACCTCTTCTGTAGAATTTTCCACAAAGAATAAAAAACCTTTTTTGTGGGAAGAACACTAGATAAGGAATTAAAAGGCCTGAATTCCAACCATTGTTCTACTTTCTAGTTATGTAATTTACTTGTGTATTTACTGAGGATTTTTTATGTGGTAGGCATTGAACAGGGGACTATAGATACAAAGATGAATGAAAAAAGGCATAGATTTCATGGAGCTTTTTTATTTTGAGCTAGGGGAATATGGGCATTAATCAATTATAGTCACACAAATGCTTGATTACCACGTAGCATAGATTAATGAAGAAGTGGCATAAGAACTCTTCTGAGCCATGGTTTTCATATCTGTAAAATGATACTTAAATACGTACTTCATAAAATTATTGAGATGATCAATTAAGATAAATACTCTATACCAATATAGAGTATTATTAAAATTATGGTGTAGTTTCCTCACATTTATTTACATTTAATTCTACATTTCATTTGTGGAAATATATGACCAGGTAATTCCTTACACAAAATATTTTTTTACTCAAATGATAGCTAAATTCTGTTTCTTTTTTAGATTTAATTTAAAAAGAAAAAATGTTAGAAGTAAATTACATTAACTTCTGTAAGGACTGTAACCATTGGTATCGGTTCACAGCAAGAATTAAACCCTTTGACAATAAGTGTTTAAGGACAGGATCTAAAGCAAAGTCAAGTTCTGGGACGTCTTACTCAAACCTTAAGTAGATGCCAACTAGGAACATGAATGGGAAATTGTTCTTATCCAAATTCCTGTGTTGATCCCTCGCCTTTCTTGTTTCTTTGGCAGCTTATTCTCTCCAGTTGGGAAGGAGGCTACAACCTGCAGTGTCAGGATCTCGCCAGTGCAGGGGAAGCCGATGTCCGGGTGAGTCATGAGGAGCAACTCGCCACCTGTAACCTTTTCTTGCTGAAAAGAACAGAAGGCTCCCTCCTCGTAGCTATGAGGATGGGGGCTGGGGTAGATGAGAAAGGAACGCCTGTTCTAATAGAAATGTTTGGTAGCAAAAATGCTTTTCAAATGGCCAGCCGTGGGAGACAGACTGAACACATTGTGCTATGCCCGCGTAATGGACCTCTTTCATCATGGAGTGAGGGGGTCTCTGCAGGGTTACAGAACCTCCTCCAGGGTATGGCTACATGAAGAGAAGCAGCCTGTATAGCCCTTGTTTACAGTGTAGTACCTTTTGTGCGAGCAATGATATGAATACATGTGTGTATTGCTCATGTCTTTAAAAGGAAACAATGGCAGAATAAACCAAAAGCGAACAAAGTGGTTTCCTTTGGTGCAGGGAACAATGAAGAAGGGACAAGATAGAAGCTGGACTTCTCTTAATGTGCATTGTATTACATTTGACTTTGGAACCATTAACTGTTTTACATAATTATGAAACAAAATTAAATCTAAAAAAATAAAAAAGCAGGGCAGCTTCCCAAAAGAAACTTGGAAATAAAATAAAATAAATGAATATACCATATATTAAGTTGGTGACATAATCAGCCAAAGAAGAATTATTTCAAGTAACATTAAAATCCAGTGTTTTGACTGGGCATCACTAGTGAATATATCTTATCAGTATTCAGTAATTATTTATTGCTATTAATAAAAATATTGGTATTGCTTTTTTGAGACTATTATAGGTACACAGTAGGATAAAGTAATTATACAATAATGTTAACATCATTACAACTAATATTTAAACATAAAAGAAAGGAGAGATCAGTAAGAAATTTAAATGAAACACCATAATCATAGATTCAAATTGGAACTATCAGAACTAACTTGATTCTTTCTAAAACAAACATGTTTTTAGTTTTCTGTAGAAAAGGCCTAGTTAGTCTGTGCGGAACAATGAGCAGAGAATCCCCAGATTGTGTTCTGTAAATACTATACTTTTCCACCAGAAGGGATGGGTTCTTCGCGAATCGGACAGCTTTTGGGTTGGGTGGGAAATGTGTATGGGGAGAATCCAGGAGCTCTCATGGCGGAGAGCCAGGGAATAGCCAAGGCTGCTGGTCCACCAAAGATCCAGGTGCCTCCTGGACAGGACTCCCTCTGCTGAATGTGGGCAGGGTGAGTATCCAAAGGAACACCGACTGCAGTGGATTGAAACATATTAAATTTATTTTAAAAACCACAAGCTTAAAATGATACTAAAAAACCCTCATTGTTTTTTGAAGGTTGCAAAACACCAACTCATTGTAGAAAAAAAATTAAAGGGAAAGAATCAAAAGTTTTCTTGCCTTTCATGTGTGCATCTCCAAAGAGGAAGAGTTCTTAGAAGAAGAGCAAAGGCATGAGGAACAAGAGAATTGAAATCATCAATTTGGAACACCTCCTGAAGTCATGGATCTAGACAGCAGTGATGAGGAAATGATAAAACTGTTGGGTGAAAGTTGAATGGAAACTTCGTAAGGATTGGATGAGGCTGGTAACACCTGAACTCACTGTACAGGAGTACCAGAAATGATGCCCCTCTTTTTCATGGACTTCAGAGGCGGTCGCTGCTTCAGGATGAAGCTGAACACCTCTTTTCCAGCATCTGGCTGCCAGAGACTCATTGAGGTGGACGATGAACACAAACTCAGAAGCATATGGCCACAGAAGTTGCTGCAGACACTCTGGATGAAGAATGGAAGGGCTATGTGGTGTGAATTAGTGGTGGAAATGAAAAAACAAGGTTTCCCCATTAAGCAGGTGTCTTTTGGCCATGTCTGCTGGCTGCTGAGTAAGGGGCATTCCTGTCATAGACCAAGAACTGGGGAGAGAGAGCAGATCTGTTCGGGGTTGCGTTATGGATGCCAATCTGAGTTCTCAACTTGATCATCATAAAACATGACCAAGAGAGATATTCCTAGAGAAAGATTTATTCCTGGTTGTTCTGATACTACTGTGCCTCATCGCCTGGGGCCCAAAAGAGCTAGCGGAATCTGCAGACTTTCAGTCTCTCTGAGGAAGATGATGTCCACCAATATGTTGTGAGAAAGAAGGTTAGAAACCTCAGACCAAAGCACCCGAGATTCAGTATCCTGTTACCCCACGTGTCCTTCAACATAAACGTCGGCGCTGAAGAAACAATGTACTAAGAAAAATAAGTAAGAGGCTGCAGAATATGCTAAACTTCTGGCCAAGAGAGTGAAGGAGGCCAAAGAAAAACTCCAGGAACAGATTGCCAAGAGGCATGGGCTACCTTCTCTGAGAGCTTCTACCTCTAAGGCAGAGTCCAGTCAAAAATGGGATTTTCTAAGAGTAATAAATAAGAACAAACTTTAAAAGAGAGAGAGAAAAAAAGAAATAGTGTCCCTCTTGATGTGATAGGAAGTTTACAGAACCACCTATGAAGGAATCTTGCCCCCAACTTAACCTGAGTCCAACCAAACCTCTAAGTGCTAGTTACAGAAAATGTGGGGGATGGAGAAACAGGTTAAATAACACCAGGAAAAAACAGTCATCCAAATCCATAATAATATTATTAGAATTCTCTACAACAGCTGATCTAACTTTTTTAAGAATAAAAGACATGAAAGAAAAGGGGGGAGCAAGGAAAGGGAGAGTGATTGGTTAGAAGAGACTTAAGAACCATAGCAAGCAAATGCAGCTGGACCTTGTTTGGACCCTGATTTAAACAAATCATTTATAAAGAGACATTTTTGAGATAGGTTTGAACATGGACAAGGCTATTAGAAGATAGTAAGGAAATATTAATTTTATTAGATAATGTCACTGTGGTTATGTCTAAAAAAACTCACTATTAGTAGTTTTTATAGATAAAATAATACTTTGAATTTTCTTATATGCTGCACTCATCCCCCCCCTCCAAACAAAGTGGTGGGAAATAGAATTGATTCAACAAATTTGGAATCATATTGAAATTCAGTGATAGATGCCACAAATTTTATTATACTTGTTCTCCCTGCGCTTGTGAATGTTTGAAAATTTCCATAATAAAAAACATGGGTTATTAATGAGGGAGATGGTGGAAATCCTTTTAATTAAAATCTTTAACATGTACATTTTTAAAGCACCTTCAAAGCAAAAATGCAAAAAGAAAAAAGGAAGATATATCGATATCTCTACACCCATTTTATTTCTGATATCTCATCATAGACCAGTACACATTGGGATACCTTACAGTCCTCCAAAGGTCATTGTTGCATGTATGTATTATTTATATTTATGGTTTAATTTTTTTGGATTAATATTTTGAAGATTTATTGTTACCTCAAACATAAGACGCCACCACACCTTATCTTCCTGAGAATAGATAGCATGTATCCTAATTTCAAAGTTCCTGTTATATAGCGTCTCCTCTCATGTTGGCATGTGAGCGCTGAGGGGCTCAGAGGGAAGGGAAGTGGTGCTCACGACCTACTGCCAGTGAGGAAGAAAAGCATCTTGATTTTGAACCTTTTAGTTTAAGGAAGAGGCATGGAAGGAGTAGTCATGGACTGCTCCCGGGTAGTATAATGTTAGGAGACACACATGTACATTAGAGGAATAGATAACAAGTGAAATCTAGCGTAACCAACAGGAGTGATCTGTTGAGTGTGAGGCCCTGAGCAAAGGCAAGACAGTCTCTTTCTTCAAGTGATTGGCAGTCTTTTGGGAAAGGTAGATTCATAACACTGACTACACTTTATGTGGTTATTAAAAGAGGCATAAAATAGTTGGGGAATATACATGAAGAAGCAGTTGATTCAGCCTGAGAAAGGAAAGAGGTAGAGCTCCAGAGAAGGGTGGTTTTAAGAGGAGTATGCAGCCCTATCCGTTTTGGCTCAGTGGATAGAGCGATGGCCTGCAGACTGAAGGGTCCCAGATTCGATTCCGGTCAAGGGCATGTACCTTGGTTGCGGGCACATCCCCAGTTAGGGGTTGTGCAGGAGGCAGCTGATTGATGTTTCTCTCTCATCAATGTTTCTAACTCTCTATCCCTCTCCCCTCCTCTCTGTAAAAAATCAATAAAATATATATATATATATTTTTTTTTTTTTTTTTAAAAAGAGGAGTATGCATTGGTTCTGCAGGTGCAGGGGAGTAGCTTGATCAGACACGAATTTTGGAAAGATGATACTAGAGTAGGTTGGAATGCTGGGAATAAGGAACAATGGAGGCAGAGACGCCAGGCAGACGCTCTCTCGGTAGTCTGACAGAAATGCATGCAGTGGGGCGCAGGACACAGAATGCTGGGAGGGCAGCGCGGGCGCGTTTTCATTGCTCACCTTTTATTTTTCCCATTTTACATTTTTTTACAGGTAGCCAAGGTGTTGTGGTGGTACTACTTCTCCAAATTAATAGAGTTCCTGGACACGATTTTCTTTGTTTTGCGGAAAAAAACCAGTCAGATTACTTTTCTTCATGTATATCATCATGCCTCTATGTTTAACATCTGGTGGTGTGTTTTGAACTGGATACCTTGTGGGCAAAGTAAGTGATTTTGTTAACTTTTTCAGTTCTATGTAATGGATCTTACAAGGCCTCTAGCGTGTCTCCTGTGTTGAGCATTGCGTGCAGGTCAGGAGAGGACGAGGGGCCATGGCATAGCCTGCTTTGTCACACAGGGATGCACATGTTTGCCAGTGGCCCTTCGTTTCTGGTCTCTGATACCGGCAAAGTCTGAGTGTTACCTTAAATTTTAAAAATGTTTTCTTTTTCGTGCACCAAATGTCCAATGGCCAGAAGCACATATCATGGCTGGAGCGGTTTTACTCCAATACCTGGGGCTGAAGAAATACTAGGAAATGTGGCACCTTTCAGTCACCGCTTGGCCGTGGTATAGATTGAGTCATTTCAGCTTTTAGGGCTTGTTTTTCCATTCTGAGAAAATGAAAGCCACGTTGCTGACCCACCAGAGTATTGGCTTGTTTTGTTTACTAAGAACTACAATAATATGTTTCACCCATTCATTCATATCTATATATTTTGAATGAAACAAAAATTTCATGAGACAATATTTAGCCTGGCTCTGTCCTTTTATTTCAAATTCTATTTCACTTTTTCAAAAAGTTGGTGACAATGTTACTGCATTGACTTACTAATGGGTCGGTTATGACCTGCAGTTGGAGAAACCCTGAGCTAGAGAGAGCAGTACTTTCTATCTGGTATTGTCTTATACCCAAGAATTAAAGGATATTCTATGAAAAATCAGAATTGCTAAAACTTAAGTCAAAATTATCTTGTGCTAGGATTTAGGATCTTGTGGAGATGAAATTTTTAAAACACCAAGGATATTTGGGCTACATCAGTGACTGTGAAGATGCAAACTCACCCCACAGTCTGAAGAAGGGAGTTGCTGGGGTGCCATGGGCAGAGAGAGATGCTGCCCCACCTCTCCTGGCCTGACAGAATCTGGTTTCTTGAGTTCAGTGATTAAGACCATAATTGACTTACACTGTAATCAATATATAGACTATAATCAACACCAAAGGACAGTGGTCAAGTTATTTTTATGATTGTCAGCAGTTTCATTACAAATCACTAAGCATATAAAGCGAGTCTCAAATAATCACTGTATAAAGACATAGAATTCCTATGAATAAAATACTACGTGTGAGACCATTTCTCTTCAATCTAGAATATTATAAAAATTATAAGCAGCAACAAATTTTTAATTGATGAAAATGAAAACTCAGGTGGCTAAAAAATATCACTAATATAGCTCAGAGTACCTGGTACTCTGAAACTATATTTGTGTTTTCGTATAATTCAAGTGCCCTACCAAGTTATTCCAGCCAGTGTTTCTTAAGGACGCACTAGATGCATGGTGTTACTCCTCTTGTCCCTTACTCGTTGCTTTGCATTTATCTATCCAGATCTCTAACCCAGGACTGGAAAACCAGGCTAGAGAATTTAAATTAATTAACCAGTGCCTTTTAGTTTATATAGTATTATAACATCTCAATCCTACCACAAGCCTTAAGAGATAATTATTATTATATCCATTTTCCAGGTGAGAAAAATAAAAATTTACCAAGTCAAAGTAGCATATCCAAGGGAACTTAGCTAATAGGGGGTTGTGTAGCTCCACAGTATCTCTTAATAGGATTGATGGCTCGCAGACCAGCCCTCTGGACCCCAAGCTCACACACAGAACAGTACCCAGCCCAAAGTGAACACTAGTAAGCACTGTACACATATTGATTGAGTTAAGCCTCATAATAAATAGTGAGTTCCCTGTTTCCAGCAAATAATCCCTTCTGACATCTTCCCTCTTACAGCTACATCCTTTCGATCCTTAGTTGACCAACATAGAACTGTTCCTTCCCCTTGGTGTCCTGAAACACCATTCACCACGCTGGTGGCAGTGTAGGAGGATGTGAAGATTGTGGCAGGGGCTGGGGGAGTGCTTCAGCACAGCTAGCACAGCAGATGCCCTAAAATCGGATTTTACAGTCTTTGTCCTTTAGTCCATGAGTTGACCCATCTCTCCTTAGTCCCAGCCTTTCTCATCCTGCTGCTGGCTCTTCTTTCTCCCCCATATTCGCTCACCTTCCCCAGCGTCTCCTGGTTCCTAGGTTCCTTTCAGGTAGATTTTATTAACTTAATTATGAAGAGCAACATATTTTGCTTGATTCTTGAGCAGCCTCTTCAACCATGTCCTGAAGGCTCTCTTTCTTTTCTTTTTTTATCCTTACCCGAGGATATTTTTTCCATTGATTTTTTTTTTTTTTGAGAGTGGAGAGAAGGGAGAAGGGGGAAGAGAGAGAGAAACAAACATTCATCAATGTGAGAGAGGCAATCGATTGGTTGCCTCCCTTGCCTCCCACAAGTGCCCTGGACCAGGGCCAGGGATGGAGCCTGCAACTGAGGTATGTCCCCTTGACCGGGAATCGAACCCGCTGATGTTTCAGTCCTAGGGCCAAACCGGCCAGAGCTGAAGGCTCTCTTTCTACAATCAGAATGGCTCATCGAAGATTTAGCTAAAGCAGATACTTCTGTCATTGGCTTTAAGCTAACTTTTTTTTTTCTCCCTGATTAGCTGACAGCAATGAGTTAAAGGGACAGTAAAACCTTTGCACAACAGGAATTACCGGTTTGGTTGGCACTCTAAGCACTATGCAGTTTAGTCCTATTAGGTGACTTGCTGAATCCTGGAGTGATGGCACAGTAATCAGGGATTTTGTCAGTGTGAACTGTTAGTGTCATATTGTTATTCATCTTCATGATGAGCAGGAAGGATCTCACTTGACAAAGAACGAACAGTCCTACTTTCTAGAAGAGCAGTAATTCCTGTGTGGTACTTTCATAGGTTTCTTTGGACCCACTCTGAACAGTTTTATCCACATTCTTATGTATTCCTACTACGGGCTGTCTGTGTTTCCGTCGATGCACAAGTATCTGTGGTGGAAGAAATACCTCACCCAGGCTCAACTGGTATGTCCTCCCTCCCTCCTTTCAGCTCTTCTCCATGTGAAGTTCCTACATATTCGCATGGGTTGGGGAAAGGTCACAGCAATCCCAGCCTTCCTAGAAGTCAGCGGCTTTGCCACAGGTGATAGAGATGCCTATTTTTCTCTAAAGAGGGCCTATTAAGAATGAAACCTTGCAGGCTAAAACATCCTTTTCGTATGTCATTAGCTTATTCCTTGATTTGAAATGTAGACAATACTTTTAAAATTAATGTTGTTAAATCATTTCAGCTGCTACTTTTCCATGAGAAAAGTAATGAACAATTAAGTGAGCAATTGTAGTTACTTACTAATAACATTTCTGGATAGGATAGCAGGCTGCTTTAGCGTGTTTTTTGTTTTTGTTTTATTCTTACACAATTTAAGGAGTCAAAGTAATTGATCTCTAGATGTACAGAACTTCACAGCGGTCCGTGTGTGGCTCGGCTGGTTCCCTCACATGGTGCCCTTCCTGCCCTTCCAGGTGCAGTTCGTGCTCACCATCACCCACACCATGAGTGCTGTCGTGAAACCCTGTGGCTTCCCCTTCGGGTGTCTGATCTTCCAATCTTCTTACATGCTTACATTAGTCATCCTGTTCTTAAATTTTTATTTCCAGGTAAGTTAAATGTAAATGTTCAGTGGTAAAACATAAGAGACTGTGCACTTCTACATTATATATTTGTTTCATTTTACTGATTAAATATTATAGTAGCACATGTTTGTTGATAAATTCAAATAACAGAGATGCACAAAGTAAAAATGAAACCTGCATCCCTAACTGCTCTCCCAACGAAGGAAGTCCTCCTCAGAGGATAACTTATCCAGTGTCAGTTGAGTGGGCATTCTGTAGACATTTTTCAATGTGTACATATAAAGTTTTATCAAATATTATGCATTTGTATCCTACAGTTGCACAGTGCTACCAAAGCCTGAAGTCAAAAAGTTAAACACTGCATACAGTAAGACGGATCCAGGAAATTTATGTGAATGAAGAAAATCATGGGCTAAATGAGTATCATATTAAAAAATTGTTTCCATATCAGCTACTGTGACGTATAGACTCACTGTTCCCTTGGAAAGCATTATTTTCGGGCAACGAGTGTGCAAAGGTCACATTGACTTTTTTGAGTATCATTTTCTTTTCTTTTTTTTAAATCTTCACCTGAGGATATGTTTTTGTTTTTTACTGATTTTTTTTTTTTAGAGAGAGAAGAAGAGGGAGAGAGAGAGAGAGGAGAGAGAGAGAGAGAGAGAGAGAGAGAGAGAGAGAGAGAGAGAGGCATTGATATGAAAGAGAAACATTGATTGGTTGCTTCCGTAAACATCCCAACCGGGACAGACCCGCAACCTAGGTATGTGCCCTGACCAGGAATAGAACCATTGACTTACGGAGAACCGTCACCTGGTCCACAGATGAGGCTCCATCCAACTGAGCTACCCAGGCAGGACAAGTGTTATTTTCTTTTTAATTAAAAATTTAAAGGGAGGAGAGCTTCAAAATGCAATTTCAAAGCAACTCTGTGATACAAGACCTGATAAAGTGGTAACTGCACAGGCCTCAGGTGGTTGTAGGTTTGTTGTTTTTTATTTTTTTTAATATATTTTTATTTCAGAGAGGAAGGGATAAGGAGAGAAAGATAGAAACATCGGTGATGAGAGAGAATCATTGTTTGGCTGCCTCCTGCACGCCCCCTACTGGGTTTGAGTCCACTATCCGGGCATGTGTCCTGATGGGGAATCCAACTGTGACCTCCTGATTTATAGGTCCACGCTCAACCACTCAGACACACTGGCCGGACTGGTTTAGTTTTAATTTGCTCTCCTTTGTGGGCTGGAGAAATAGAAAACTTCATGAAAAAAATGAGAACACACATTTATATTCAAAACAGTACTTTTGAAATTGTATTCAGCTGTATTTTCTTCTTCTTCAGACATACAAGTGTTTTCTGATTTTTTAATTTGCATGTGCTGAAAGTCAACCCGTAGTGTTTTATACAAAGTACAACTGTGGGAACTGAACTTTGGACAGTTTTTCAGCTCTTGTGTTTCTGAAAGTAGACTGGCTAGGCTTTGTCTGTTATAAGAGATAAAAGTTTCCTTTGAGAATTTCTAAAGAAATAGGCATTGATAGAACCAAACAAAGCCATGGGGGGTGGGGTATGGGGGGGTGGAGTAAGGGACTGAATGTTGAAACTTGAAGAGAAGCACATAGCCCAGCAGGGGTCGCCAATGGCACTCAGAGCTTTAAATCTACTTGATTCAATTGAATCTTAGTCTTTTCAAGTTGAGTATATTTTTTTTAGTCTTAACCCTTAATACCATTGTTTTAAAAAATAAAAAAGATAAAAATGAGATGAGATTAGATATTTTGTCAGAACAGCAAAGATATGCCAAAACCGAAATTAAGCAAAGTCCCAGGTACTAGTACTTTAAAATAACAGTACTTTTCACTTGAATTGTATTTTTGTTTAATTATGTCCTTAAGTCATGGGGATGTGATGTATAGCATGGTGACTATAGTTAATAATACTGTGTTGCATATTTGTAAGTTGCTAAGATAGTAGATCTTAAAAGCTCTCATCACAGGACTTGGCCAGTGTCGGCCTGAGCACCGAAAGTCTTGGGTTCGATTCCTGGTCAAGGGCACATACCTCAGTTGCAGTTTCGATCAGGGTGCTTGCAGGAGGCAACCAATCAATGTGTCTCTCTCTCTCTCTCTCTCTCTCTCTCTTTCTCTTTCTCCTTCACCCTCCATCCCTCCCTTCCACTCTCTAAAAAGCAATGGAAAAATATGTTCTCATCACAAGAAAAAAGTTGTGTGGTGATAGATGTGAACTAGACTTATTGTGGTGATAATTTCACAATATATACAAATATTGAATCATGTTGTACACCTGTAAACTAAGATAATGTATATCAATTATACCTCAATTAAATATATATATGCTTTCTATGTAAGCAACTAATGCAGAATAAATTAAATGCTAATACCATAATACATAAATACTATGCTCATAAAGTGAAAGAAACCACCTTTCATTAGAATTCATACAAATGTCCTGTTTTCACCCTATTTTTATTTTTAACCAAAATCTTTTTAAAAAAATAATTGATAGACTTATTTTTAGTAGTTTTAGGGTTATAGAACTGAGCAGATAGTACAGAATTCCCACATACCCCTTCTACCCCTTCAGTTCCCCCTATTAACATTTAGTATCGTGTTGCATTTGTTACAATTGATGAGCCAATATTGATACATTATTAACTACTAGAGGCCCAGTGCATAAAAATTCATGCACTGGAGGGGGGGTCCCTCAGCCCGGCCCGCCCCCTCTCACAGTCCGGGAGCCCTCAGGAGCGGGAGGCAACCCTTCGATTAGGGGAAGGCGACGCCCCCATCACACCTCTGCTGCTGCCACTGCTGGCAACGCAAGCCTCAGCTGGCCCTGGTTACCTGCGCCTCAGGTGGCCCTGGGCAGCTGGGGGGCTGAGGGGACTGGGGGACTCCAGAGGCAGGCGCGCAGAGCAGCCAGGCCCTCCTGGGGGCGGGCCCAGCCTTCCTGAGCACCTGCCACCCCAGAGGGGCTGAGGGGACTGGGCACACCATCTTGTGGCTGTGGGTGCCGCCATCTTTGAGGGCGTGGCAGTCAATTAGCATATTCCCTCCTTATTGGCTGTGGGTGCCACCATCTTTGAGGACGTGTCAGTCAATTAGCATATTCCCTCCTTATTGGCTGTGGGCACCACCATCTTTGATGGCGGGGCAGTCAATTAACATATTCCCTCCTTGTTGGCTGTGGGTGCTGCCACCTTTGTGACAGTGTGAGGGTCAACTAGCATATTCCCTCTTTATTAGATAGGATAGTCCAGGGTTTACATTTCCCTCCTTGTGTTGTACATTCTATGGATTTTGACAGATGCATAAAGTTATTTCATGCAGAATATAACCCCTCTGTTTCTCACAGCTTCACTATAGTCCCCACATTTGTTCCTGGGCCCTTTCTTATGGCTGCAGCGCCATCACTTGCTGCTCCTAGTCCCTAGGCAGGCTGTCCGGGCTGCCCACACCCCAGGGAAGCTCAGCACTCCTGACCTGTCACTACCTTATGTCCCTGCTACTGAAGATCCAGAAGCTTTAAAATTGTCATATTAAAGATAAGAATTCTTATTACAAAGTCCAGTACCCAAGCAAATCATACACTGTTTTAGACTATATGCCACTTTAGAGACGTCTTATTAAAGAATCCTTTTTCTTTTCCTTTTCTCTTCAAAATGTACACATCCTACAGACATACCGAAAAAAGCCAATGAAGATAGAGACGGAAGAGTTACCATCAGGGAAAGAAGTGAAGAATGGATTCTCCAAAGCCTACTTCACTGCAGCTAACGGAGTGATGAACAAGAAGGCACAGTAATATCAGCAGCAGACACAGCATATATAATGGCCTAACAGATCCGCTTGCTCTCAGGCAAGGACTGAATTGAACGTTATATATGCTTTAGCATACACTAACTTCCTTTGCGTTCATAAATCATTTGTACCCAGAATGTATTAATATCTTGCTATGAGGTTAATCTGTTAATTGAGTGCTTCTGTCAGCATTGAGGTGAGCTCTGTAGCCCTCCCACTGGCGCCCCTTCTCTCCTCCCCCAGGCCTGCCCCTCAAAGGAGCTCTTCGCTGCCTCACACACAGCCAGAGAGCAGGGCACTGTTTGTCACAGCAGGTCTTCAAATAAAAAGTTAACAGTTTGTTCTCATGAAAATGTTTAAAAGAAAATGTTAGTTCTCTCCCAGATACAGGGTGTGTTCTAATCTACATGAAGCAATAATTGTCAGTGCATAAAGGAATTAGTCCCTCTGTTCCTTTAGGGGTCAACCCCAGAAGATATTAAAAGAGGATTATAAATGGAAAATCTAACAAAACTTTTAAGCTGTGTCTGTCAGATTCCCACAGCCACTCCTAACTTTCAACATAGTGATGTGGTAATGAAACTTGAGGAAAAAATCCTCTGCCAAATCCTCATAGCTCAGGGGCTTTGAATAGTTGTTCCTCAGTTTTAATTTGGTTTCCTTGACTATTCGTGTCTACCTCTCATGTTAAGTTGCCTCGGTTGGGATATAGACAGACACAGTGCTCATGTTCAAGAGCAGGAGCTAAACCCTGGCTGCCTGCTGCTTTCTGAGCAAGGACTCAGGTCCAGTCTGCCCTTTTCTTAGTAGGATATGCCACTGGGGACATACATACATCAGAAACTCAGAGCTTTTGGGGGGGAAGAGACATTGAACTTCGTTTGTGAATAATAATTCCTTAATACCTGCCCATCAAGTCTTATGCAGGATAAAATTTTGAAAATGGGTAACCTAAAAATCGGAAGGATGAATACAAAAGATTTCTCATCATTCGAAGCCATTGG